TGCATGGCGGAGTCTGCCCAGAGCGTACCAAGAGCACCGAGGAGCCCGAGCAAACTTACCCCAAGAAACTTATTGGGGCGTGGCCGACCGGTCCCAGGCTAGGGATTCTGGGGACTCATGCCTTGCCTTTTTGCCCTGGTCCCTGCAGGTGCGTTTTCCAGGGGTCCTGTTGCAGTCACTGTGCGTCTTCCAAGTTCCGAGTGCCTTGCAGGACCCGTTCGCTCTAGCTTAGATGTTGAAGTTTGGTGTCTTGGTTATTTGCTGTCTCGGGAAGAAAAGACTCTTACTGCCTTTATCTCAAAGAAAGTATTGTTAGGGTGTGCTGCATGTTCTGTGTGTCAAGCAATCTATTGTCCCATGTGCTGGTGCAGAAGACTAGCTACTTCTATATTTAGTTTTTGAAGAAGGCTAAAGGATATAATTAGGCTTTTTTCTTTTTGAAATACTCCCGCCACCTCTAAATCCTGCCCTAGGATAGTTCCCAAACTTGTCTGTGCGGGAGATTGGCTGGCGAGTTTTAAAACTCACCATGCTTCCCATTGCACCCTAGATTAATTCAGACACAAGGCATTTATTTGTAAAAAGTCCGCATGTAATTCTGAGAGCTGTAGAGTTCAGAGACACTCGTTTGATAAGAGAAAGTCAAGGCTAGTTTTACAAAGTAGTAGTAAGTAGCATTCGGTTTATAATTGCTGGGCTGAAACTAGTTTATTATTCCTTGTTCCCACCAGCGAGGGAACAAAGTGTCCTTAACGGTCAAACTTGAGCTAGACTATGTGACTTTGGTGTTTTGAATTTCCTTATTACAGCCACGAGGCTATCTCATCTTAACCGTTCCTCTTCCAGGACCCCATATTTAATGTACCAGGTCTCTTAGGAGAATATCCCTTAAGCTTTTGGTGTTGAATCTAAAGGGTTACTGTGGGTTCCCATAGCAATGGGTCCTCCAGGGGAAGTGGGCGGGGCCTCATAACATTGGGTTTCTAAAGAGGACTCTTCTGAAGATTTTGATTCACTTTTGTCAGTTCTTTGAACTCAGGGAGGGTAAGGAGGAGGTTATCCTATTCTAGGTTTTCTTTCTAGGATAATTGTAGGTTGGCATGGAAGGATACTTTTCACGGCTATGATTTCCTTGCTGAGTACAGTAGCCCTCACCCCTTCCCCAAATACTTATCTGTCCACACTTGATTTGTTTAGCAAAAGTTTCATGTTCCTGACATCTTTCCTTCCACACATACAAACTTGAGAATTGTAAACAATGTTTTTTTTTTAATGCACCAAGACATTTTATGTTTACCGGTCTATAAACATGAAATGTCCTACAGCTGTGCAAGAGGAAATGGAAAACAAAAAGAAAAAGAAATCAACGTTTTGTGAGGAAAAAAAAAAATGCCGCTGTCAGTGTTTTAAGTTGTTTGTTTCCTAGAAGGTGTTTTCCCATAACTTGTGTAATGTTATCCTTTAACAACGACAAAGGCAGAGGCAAGGAACTCCTTCCTTCTCCAACATTCAAAGGTCAAGAAAAAACAAAAGAACAACAACAAAAAAATCTTGTATACAGCAGGACAGAAGTATGTCGTTTATGCTTTTTAGACTTCAGTTTTTGAAACCTTTCATGCTTCACTAGAAGTAATGAGTGTTGTGGATCCCAGTGTGTCATTAGGGTAGTATTCATTCTGAACATGTATTGGGCGTCTTCAGTTTTTTTGTGTGTATGTGCTAGTGCTAATTCAGTGCCGTCAACCAAATTCTGTGAATTCACCATTGAACTGGGAGGGATGGAGAAGGAATGGTGGATGATGGGAATCTGTGGTCTGGACCTGTAACCTCATGGTGCTGAAATAAGTTTTGTTTTGTTTTGTTTTGTTTTTTTCTTTTTAAACCCATCACATCTTTTCTTTCTTTTTTTTTTTTTTTTTCACTACCCTCAGTCTAGATGTCCAGTAAAAGATCCTTGAGGATGGGTATTTGTGTGCTGTCATTGATAGGTCCTTTTGAAAAGTTAGTTGCAGCAATAGCTGAGAATTTCTGTTGTTTCTAGGTTTTTTTAAAAACATTTTAAAGTAAATGTCGTTTACCTTTATTTTCAGACTTTGGGAGATTACTGCAACAAATATAAGGAAATTAAGATCATAGTCACATCCCCTGGCAGTCACCATCTGTTGATATCTTCTCCCTTCCATTTGGCTTTTTGTATTTTCCTGCAGAGACTCAAACAAAGTTGGCATTTGAATGTTTCTGTTTGTTTATGGAAATGGTTTTACTACATATTCCAGGCTTGCCTAGATCTCAGTGTATATTCAAACCATCCTCCTGCCTCAGCTTCCAGAGTACTGAGGTTATAGGTATGTGCCATCATACCTGGCTTAAGTACTTTTAAACAGAACTCTTAGCATTTTTGTCTCAAATGTCTCTTCTACTTTTTAAATAATTTGAAAATACGATTTTTATGATGGATATGTCCATTTGCTTGAGTTTCGTTTATTGAGTTTTTGTTTGTTTTTAAATACCAAACTCTATTTTCAACATTGAGAATATGCTGTTAGGTTCTCAGGTTGCAAAGCCCAGATTGTCTACTTGCTAAGTGGCCTTAATTACTGCTAGTTTAAAATCCCCTTTCTTGGGATAAGGATAACTGTACTGAAGAACTGCCGGGAGATGGAATGAACCAAACAGAGAAGGCCAGCAGGGTGGCAGAGGATGTGAGCTCCGTGCAGTCCTAGGAAAACAAGCATGGCCAAGGTCAATGCCCTTTGTGAAAGTCTTGGCATCTGTGATTTGCTTGGGCTAGATTTACAACATAACAAACAGGTGAACTCTTTATGGTTCCTGAGGCTCATTAACTTGTTTTTGCAATGACCTGTTCCTTCCTTACCCACTCTATGAGCAGGTGATCCAGCACTCCAGTGTTTAATCCTCCCTGGGTTTCTATAAAGATTCATTTAGTTTTAATACTGAAATGAGTAACTTGGTGCTCTGGAAGTTGTCTGTGTCAGTACCATTCCTACTTTACTTTTAAATAGCATGTTTGTGTGTGTGTGTGTGTGTGTGTGTGTGTGTTTTAAATGAGTTAAATACATGTTTTCTATAAAAAATACTGAGACTGTTTCATGTATATAGTTTTAATTTGGTTTTGGTTTTGGATTCTTTGAAGCAGAGTTGGGATTTATTACAAATTGCATATAGATTTTAAGAATGGAGTTTAAGAAAAGGAGAGGTGTTCAATGTGGGCTTCTCACAGAAGAGTTACTTCATTGCTTGTTAGTAATTTGAGTAACTGTGTTAACCCCCAACGAAAAATACTTCCATTTTACTATATATCATAGTGCACCACACATTATTATCACAGTTTTATAGTTCCATCTTTTTAAGGCCAGGTATGTTTGACAAGTCCAAGGGTGATGGAATAAAACAAAAACATTGAAGATTTGAATCTTTTAGCCCTTTCTCATCTACACACCATTCCCAAATCTTAATGCAAAGCCTTAGATTTAGAATATGTAGAAATGTGGTAGTTCAAATCACATGACATTTATTTACCTATCATTTCAGATACAGAGGCTAGATTTAACTTAATCTCTAAAGTGTTAAATATAAGTGGCCTCCTATTCCAGTCTCCTAGTCTGTCTCCCACATGGTAACTGAATGAAAATGGACATGACTGTTCCTGGGTCTGGCTGAGTAGAAGGTTTATTGTAGATATGAGGGAGATCACAGGCAGAGGCATCTGGAAGGGTCCAGACTGTGCTGGGCCATGAGAGAAGTGGGTGGAGAGAGGACCAGGAAAGTACATGGGACCAAGAGTGTCAAGAAACCAACCATGTGGCCAAAATGGCTGAGGGAACGTAAGGATTAGAGAGTTGGGGGAGGGAAGCCCAGTCCCTGGACTAGAGAGGTTTGGGGTATGGGACCCTGTGAGAAGTACTGAGTGAGACTTGTCCTGGGTCTTTTTGAGACCTCACAGTAACCACTGTGGGCTGCTGTTTCTCTCCTGTGGATTTCACTGGCTCTACTTGTCAGGTTTTCTTCTTGGACTGGCCAGAGTGGTCTTTCAGTGACCTCCTCGAGGGAGGGTCCAGGATTCATTGAGGAATTTGGCTGGGTCTCATTATCCTCTTTGGGTGTAGTTACTTAAACTTAACATGTTAATTGACTTGTCTAAGAGCACCGCTTCAGTCTTCCGGCGATGTGGAACTGTCAGTCATACAGTGACATACAATGAGGGCATCTAGGGAGTTTCGGATTTCTTAATCAGTCTTCTACTCTTTGTCACAGTGAATCAAGGCACTGTGTGGTGTCACGGTCCTCATTGCTGCTCCCTCTCAGGTTGTCTAAGACAGTTGCCATTTCCACCAGCCTTCCACTGTGTTGATATCGTTTTGGTCTCCACTGCAACCATTTTAAGTCTGTGGGTCTCCGTGCCTTGTGGAAAGGTCTCTGGGCTGTTACTTTAGTGGAATACATGGAAAGGACATTAAAGACTGTGGACATGAGTCTTTAGAATGAGAAATCACTCACGGCTGCAGTTGGCAAGCACTACTATCTTGTAGGGTGGTCAGTGTTCCTGTGGGGAGAGAGGGAATGTTCTTCAGACCTCCCATCTGGCCGAGCAGAATTCGCTTTCTTCACCAAGGCCCTAA